ATAAATTATTTAGAATTATGTTGCTTCTAAATTATCTTTTTTTATCTCTTCTGATAAGAAATGTATTTTTAGACTAGCAATTGTCCTTTTCTGTGTAATATCTCATTTGCTTTATCATTTTACTTTCCATGAATAAATTCCCTTTGGCCTTGATGTTTGTTCCTATGTTTCTATGATGACTTATTAAGAATTATGGAGATGAAGATGCTCAAATCTCATCAGTTCTGGAAATTCTTTTAGTGCCTCAAACTTTTTCTTACTGCATTCTCTCCACTTCAGTTTTCCAGAAGTCCCACTGGTTCATAAGTTGAATATTTTCATTGTATCCCATCTGCACATCAGCTTTTCTACTTATGGTCTACTACTTTTTTTTTTTTTCTGGTGCAATTCTGTGTTGTTTTCCCTGGATATCTTCTTCTAATCTTTTTTGGTTCATTGTGTTTATACTTGATGTTAAATCCATCCACTAATTTTATAGTAAAGACTATATTTTTAAGTTCCATTGGGTTTTGTTTATTCTCTTTTTCAATGTGTCTTATTGTTTTCTTAGGGGTTTGATTATATTTATCTCTAGGAGCACTTTAGTTTGTTTTTGTAAAAAATGCTTTTTCAGATTGGCATTTTACTATTTCACATTGTCGGGCTGAGGATTATCTTTCACTGCACATGCCGGCTCTCGTGAACGTTGTGTTACGTAACTCCTGAGTGCCAGGCTCTTGTTTGGAGGATCCCTTGTGGCCTCGCTTGTGATTGTACACCGTGGAGGGTTTTTACTTTTGCTGAGAGCCTCTGACAAGTGATTGGCCTGGCAATAATTCCTTACTTCATGGCTTAGCTTGCTGGTTTTTGGATCATGTAAGTAGTGCAAATACGAGTTCTCAAAATATACTCCAGGTGCACACTTATGGTTTCAAATTCTATCCACTTTTATTGCTATTTTTGCTCAGAGCTTAGGCTGAGATGGGCCTCAGTGTTGCCTTCTATTCATACATTTCACAGTAGTTTAAATAATTTAACTGTGTTCTCCTACGTTTGTCCCTAATTTCATGTTTCTTGCTAGCTGGTTTTCCACTTATCAATATACCCACACTGCTGGGCTTAGAGGCTGCATATGCATTTCTAACTAAATTAGAAGCTATAATTATTAAAACTACTAAAATAGCTGAAATGTTAATGATTTGCTTATCTCGACTGTGTCCCTAATGACTAATGAAATTATAAAAAGTTTTACGTTATTACACTCTTATTTCATTTACATTAGCATAATTGGTTAGCAAAATCTGTTGATTACCCTAACAATAATGGAATGTTTGGGGGTGCCTCATTTTATGCAATTATATATCCATGTCAGAAGCAATAAGAACTACTGAAAGAGTTAACTACTCTACAGATATAAAGGATCATTTTATATTTAACTATTCATGCAATACTACAATGCCCAAAACCTTTATTAAGAGAAGCTAGAACAGCATTAATTTATCATTAAATATTTTAATTATTATATATGCAACATATGAAAGTCAGGGTATACAACCACCAAATCCTAAAAAGACTGAATTTAGAAACTACCTGTTTTCAACAAGCTATATTTTCACAACTTTATTGCAGTATAGCGACATATAAAATAATACACTAGTTCAAATGCCTAAAAACACACACACACACACACATACATACAAAATGGAGTGTATTTTTTTTTTTTAAATCCTGAGACACATGCCTTTTGGAAAGTGATGAAATCCTACTTATTAAGAAATGGATAGCTTTCTAAGTAAATACCTCCTTTCATCACCTTGAGATGTTATTTCTTGCCTTTGGCCAAGCCAGCCCTTACAATTTCTCCTGTTAATTTTTGAATCTTGAAACCACACTAGGAAACATGTCTCAGAGCTGGTGAAACCTTAGCTTGCATATCGGACTAAGTCTTGAATGAGAATATGGCGATGGGAAGAAGGAAGCAGTATGTGGGAAATTTGCACAGCCCTGGTACAGTCAGGGCAGGTGCGTGCTTTGCAATGGGAGGATGTGCTGAGTGCCGCAGGCTCGGTTTGCCTTTGCCTCCCCTTGTCTTTGCTCATTTATCTACTCCTTCTTTTTATTTTATTTTTAATTACCACATAACTGTCTATATTTATGGGGTACATAGTGAGGTTTCTGTACATACAATGTATAGTGAGTGATCAGATCAGGGTAATCATCATATCTATCATCTAACATTTATCATTTCTCTGTGTTGGGAACATTAAGTATCCTTTTTCTAGTGACCTGTTTACTCTCTTTTACTAACTATAGTCATCCTACAATACTATAGGATACTGTAGAATACTAGATACCTTGCTCACACCTTGCACTTCTAGGATAAAGAAGGCTAGTAACTCAGCTAAGGTTGAGGGTTACCAGACTGTTGTCCATCTTAGTATCTAGAAAGGAATGGGTAGAAAAAAGTCCCAGGGCTTGCAGTGAGATCTAGAATATATTCTCTTACACCCTCCTGACCTCTTTTATTCTTTCTACTCTTCTTCTTCTTTTTTTTTTTTTTTGAGATGAAGTCTCATGGCATAACCTTGGCTCACTGCAACCTCCACTTCCTAGGTTCAAGTGCTTCTCCTGCCTCAGCCTCCCAAGTAGCTGGAACTACAGGTGCTTGCCACCATGGCTGGCTAATTTTTGTATTTTTAGTAGAGACTGGTTTTCACCATGTTGGCCAGGCTGGTCACCAACTCCTGACAGCAAATGATCCACCCATCTCGGTCTCACAAAGTGCTGGGATTACATGCCTGAGTCCCACACCTGGCCGGTTTTCCTACTTCTTTAAAAGCCTACTTTTCTACTTGACCTTGATGTCTACTTTCTATCCAAAATCCACCATTGTAAGCTTCCCATGACTCCAAGAGCTTCCACCTTTAGGTGCATCAACTTCTAATAACACGTTTCTTCTTTCAGCATAAAAAATGTGAATTATTGGTTTTTCAATAAATGCTTTGATGTACCTAAAAGATTATTCAACTGTTTCCCAACTTTTGTTAGCTCCAGTGACCAACCATTTATCATGAAAAATCATTGAGAAGCAAGAATCCTTGCTTCTCTATCACTAATCCTGGTGGCCCAGGAAAGAGATGATCCAGGATGGTCAGTGACCCAAGAACAAGGGAGGATACCAAGGCCGAGTACTCCATGAAATAACAAATGCTGTGAAGGCAATGCCAACATTAGTGAATTAGAGTTAGAGACTGAATAGAGCCCATGTCAATATGACTTTCAAGCCAGCAAGGTAAAGGCAACGAGAAGTGAGGTTAGAGTCCAGGAGGGTTGTTGCTGGAAGAGCCTTGAGTCCCTGAAGGAAGAGAATAATGCACTGAGCGTTTCCCTGCAATAATTTTCAGCCCCAAAGACAATATGTAGAGGAGGATCTGCCAATTTTTGAGACAAACGTAGTTGAACCAATTTGTGTTTTCAGACACCGCCTAAAACAAAATGCATTTTTGCATTTAGCCAATACTGAAAATAAATTAAAATAATGCAATTTCCACAAATGATTGGTTTGAACACATGGTACGGGGCTGATCTTTTTTCCTTTGGGTTTAGCACAGATGTATATAATTTACTTATAATCCCTTCATGCATACATTTTCAGCCATGGTTTATTTTTTCACTGTAGTAGCAGCATTTCTTCTGTCTCCAAGTTAAAGGGTTTCCTCAGTCCAATCTAATTTCCTTCGCATGGAATTCAACCTCCCCTCTTTCCTTCGCATGGAATCTTATCCCCAGTGCAAAGTTTACCGGAATTGACAGCCTAATTCAATGAAAAAGAAAATTGTATGTCTTCAAGTATGCAGCCAACCCATACTCAAAGAGCTACATCAAAATAAAGACTACAAACTTGTTTTTACTGAGTGGTTAGCTTGGTAAAATCTGTAAACTAGAGTAAGAAAGGCAAATTATTTGGCCCTCCTGTTAGCATTTAACAGTCCTAGTGTTTCGTGGACTTGGCATCTCACAGACAGACACAAGTCACCAAAGTAACCGGGGACACTTTTCTATTGTGAAATGTAAGTCAAGTTAATGGAATGTACTTAATTCTTGACGATCCATGTTCACCGAGCAGATACTTCAAACTTTTGAAGGATATAGAAATTGAAAACCTAGAGTTGAGGTCTCTCCCAGCTGTGGGAAGCACAGTGCTGAGCAAACTTCATTTCAGTGATCTGGTAGGTAAAACCAGGATAATAATGAAATCTTCCTCATTGGTTGTTAGGAAGCTTTTCCCAGAGGGATGTACTGAGAGGTGAACTGAGAAGGTCAGAAGCCACAACACACACACAGAATTTTACTTCTTTGTAGTCCTTATCAGAGGAGGAGTCATGTAATTCTTAAGAATAGTGTCTGACGTTAAGGAAACTCCCAATAAATATTAGTTACAGTTGCTGACTCACTAAAATATAATGCCACCGGTTACATCTCGAATTTATGCTTCTTGTTCCTTGAACAAATGCATCAGGTGAATAATGAACAAAAAATAGAAAAAAGTTGCTGTCATGGTTTGGGTTCCCTGAAAAGCATCTTGAGAAAAGGGCTGGATTGTAACCCAAGAGATGGGCCGTTCCTGAGGTTCAGTCCTTGCTTGGCAAGTGAAGGTAATAAACTATTTCGTTTTATTTTGACTTCCATCCTGATTCATAAAAGAGTTGGAATGAAAATGTAATAGTACACAAAGACAGCGCTATTATCTTACAAATTACTTCATTAGACAGAGGAAGTATGCATGTTGGGGGGAATTTAAAAATGCAATTTGCCTGCATAGTGTAAAACTATTATAACTGGGACCTAAATATAAAGCATACAAAACAGGAACAAATACTGTAAAAAATCACCTTTGCTAATGCGTATGAATTCTATCAGGTGTCAGGCATACTGTGTGTGCAATGTACAAGTATTAATACGTTTACTCCTCATTCAATGCTGTCAGGGAGTGACTAGAAATTCTCCTGTTTTACAATTAGGGAAATTCAAGCTCAAAAACTTCTGCATCCTGCTCAACATCATCCCCTGCCATGTGGACCAGTATCTGAAGGGGAAGAGCCTGCGTTCACACTCCACACACTGCGCCATGACTCCGTGCCACCTGTTGATTTATCTTTTGGGGTGCTTTGTAATGATTGAATTCAGGTTCTCTCTACTCTCTCAGCTAACAGCTCAGTGACAGCAGGTCCCTTGTACCTTATTCACCCTTACACTGCCAGGGCCTCCCACAGCACCAGACATGCAGGAGATGGAGAAGAGGTAGTCATCAAGTAATTTGTCATAACATAGAGCTGGTCATTCCCACCTGTGTTTTTTGGTGAAAGGGAGAAAAGCCGAGATAGGTTTTATGGACCATTAAATGTTTTATGCAAAAAATGTTTCCCATTCTGTTGGTTGCCGGTTTGCTCTCATGGTTACTTCTTCTGCTGTACAGAAGCTCTGAAGTTTAATTACATCCCATTTGTCTATTTTGGTTTTTGTTGCCATTGCCCATCAACGATAGACTGGACAGGGAAAATGTGGCACATAAACACCATGGAATACTATGCAGCCATAAAAAATGATGAGTTCGTGTTCTTTGTAGGGACATGGATGAATCTGGACACCATCATTCTCAGCAAACTGACACAAGAACATAAAATCAAACGCTGCATGTTCTCACTCATAGGCAGGTGTTGAACAATGAGAACATGTTGGACACAGGGAGGGGAGCATCACACACTGGGGTCAGTTGGGGGGGCTAGGGGAGGGACAGCAGGGGGTGGGGATATTGGGGAGGGATAACGTGGGGAGAAATGCCAGATATAGATGATGGGGGATGGAGGCAGCAAACCACCTTGCCATGTATGTACCTATGCAACAACCCTGTATGATCTGCACACGTACCCCAGAACCTAAAGTACAATTTAAAAAAAAGGTTAAAAAAAAAAGTAAATGTTTTATGCTCCTGGCAAAGCTGACTCAGTTCCCCAGGCAGGCTGTGTTCTGTACTGCTGTGTTTCATACACATGAGTCAGGGTTATACTTTAAATGACATGTCCACTCTAACAACAGAAAGTACATTTTCAGTTGTAAATCAGTAGCCTGCATTACATTTGAGATGTATTTTCCAGCTTCAAGCACATTTCCCTGTCCTGGACAGCTTCACATTTAAAAGAATCCAGATTCCCTTTGTTTCCATTGTGCTTTCTGCTAAATGACTTTAGAACTCTTGTTAAACATAACAGTTCTGTTGGAGGTTACAGGTTGTTTTGGTTAGAAAATGTATACAGTGTAGATTGACATTGTCCACAAGATCTGAAAATCACACCTTTACCAGTTATGGTGTTTATGCTCTTTTCTATCGTTTCCGATGAAACTTATCAGAGGAAATGACTCAGCAATGAAAATACGGTGGTGTGCAGGTGCCAAAGTGTTTTTCAGGCTCGTGGTCAGGAAAACGTCAGATTCGAGAGTAAATGTCCTTTCAATGAATCGTGTGTAACCTCACGTATTCAGAAACAAAAGTGAAAATCAAGAAGGAGGAGGGAAAGGAGGTGAGAGAAAGGGACAGTTGGTGGCATATGTTGCAGTTAGTTTTATTTACGGTAACTTGCTAGTAAACCATTAATATAGGAACATACTAACGGGGGTTTCCCCTCTCTTTTCTTTGACATCTCTGACTAGATTTTGTGATTAAGAATCACTCTGTAAATGAGACTTTATAGCGAATACTAATGTTGAAAAAAATGGAGGCTTACAAACGGCTTGCTTTTTGTACAGCAGCAAAGCAAATGGGATGTATTTATAGAGTAGACGTAAAAAGCACAGCGTCCCTGACTAACACCTTCTGAGAGCCCTATAACCCTTCCTGAACAGTTTGGCTATTTTCATTTCTAACAGTGGCTCCTAATTTGTCCGTGTATTAATTGTTTCCCTAGGAGTGTATGACATAAACCTGCAAACATCACAGTGGCTGGAGAAACATGTAGCAAATACAGCTGGGTGCTGGTGTATCATAAGTACCAGACCCAAGAAGCATCCTTTTATATTTCTCAATCAGCCACTTATCTGGAGAGAATTCACATTTGTCTCCAATCCTCCCTACCTCCTCCTAGAAATCTCAGTCCCGGCCAAGGACACAAGTTGAAGGGGTTTCCTTTCTCTTTGGCATTATTGTAGGGGGAAAGTGTGAGTGCTGCAGCAGGTCTGAAGTGAGAGGAGAAACGAGAAACCTTCGCTCCAAGGTTGGGCAGAGGCAACCCAGTCCACATGGACGTCCGTGCTGGGCTACTGAGGTCTGAGATATGGAACTCTGCAGTGGCCATGATGCCCGCATCACAGTGGAATCTGATCATTTCTTATAAAAGCAATGTTTCTTCCAGATATTTTTCTTGCTCTAAACAGCTGGCAGGATTAAAAAAAAAAGATAAGAGAAGAAAGGAGTTGAGAATCTTTTGTGAAAAGTGAAGAGGCGAGACGATGAGGAGGCATCAGCCACACTGAGAAAGGAAGGAGTGTTGCAAAGAAAAATGCTCTCCATCCGAACTTGTCCTTTCCTCAGCTTTTCCTCCAGCTCTTTTCCTCCCGAGCACCACTTCGTGATAGGCACAAAGCACATCTTACCCCTCCCCCAGAGCCAGCTGACCTTCAGAACCTGCAGTGGTCACGTTGCTCTAAAAAGCATCTATGCAGGAGGTAGTGTTAACCTCAACAGACTTTTAGAGAATCCAAGTCTGCATGCATTTGGCAGGAATGCAGGTCTATAAAGTGAGAGCACAGCCATCTCATAATCACCCATCTGCAAGACATTTATCAAAAGCCTGGAAGCCTGATACCGTCTCTCCCTCTTGAAAGGGGTATCTTAATTTGGAGAATCCCAAGATTTCTCTACTCACCAACCTCTTAGTTCAGTCCCTGGGATGTTTCTTGATGTTTAGCAAAGCTACTTATCAGGCTCTGTGGGTGGGAAACTCTGGGGAGTGTTTCCTGATAGCGCTAAGACCCTGGCAGGGAACAGGGTCTTTGTGCTGTGAACTCTGATCCTTTCCTGTGGGCCTGAACCTAATTCATCCCACATAGTCCACCAAGATTTGCATCAGGCATGTCCAGGTCCTCTCCAGATCGTCCCTGTGAATGCTCAGGCCTTTGGATGTGGTTTCTTAGCTGGTCTTTGTTTTCCTCTTGTCTCTGGGTCTCCAGAGGGTGTCCATTGTCTTGCTCAGTTCTCTAAGCCCAGAGTCTGCACAGTGTCTGAAAAAGAGCATGTGTTTACTGAATATTTATTGGGAGGATAAGTCGATGATGACGTGAATTAGAAACAACCACTCAGCCTTATAGGGTAGGTGTATGTGGTAGGCAGAACAACGTGCCTCCTCCTGAAGATGTGGTAGCACAGGAAAAATTGTCTTTTTCCTCCACCAATCTTAAGTTCGCTGACTGAGACCCTGCAAATTAGACCGATAAAATATAGATTAACAGGAGCTTACTAACATCCACATCCTACAAACACACAAGAAAACCCAGCGATGAGTCACTCTAGAGGGTGGTTAGAACCTGGGCTTCTATAGCATCTTAACAAAAGAACAATTAATTATTACAGAGGTGACAAGAGAAAGAAAAAGGACGTTTAGTTTCCAAAGCAGCAAACTGGGATAAGGTAAACGTATGAGCCAACAAGGCAAGGGCTGGTGAGTAAGGTTTGTTAGGTCGACTTCTGTGGCTCCTATAGGATGATAAGGGGCCAGTATTTTCTGACTCCTGTCCTTCTGGGTAGAAGGAAAGGGAGGCACCTTCACAAATGATGTCCTGCCTTAGGCATATGGGGAGGGTTTGAAAAGCTTTTCTTATATCAGCATCTTCTCAGTTGTCTTTAGCTCAAAGAATCCTTATGCCAAAGTGGCGTATTTTGGGATGACATGCTCTGCACCTCCAAAGCTTGAATTGATTTTATTTCTTCTCTGACTATGCAAAGGCACTGAAATGCAAGGATGCAAATCAAATGTAAGGCTGTCTCTAAGACAAAGGCCAAGGGACCGCTTTCGGGATAGTGAAATAAGGGGACATGTTAATAGAACAAATTAATACAAGAATGTATGTTCAGAGCTAATTTATGCGGTAGTTACATAACAGCCTCACAACACAAGACTAAGATAGAGAAACCAAACCAGGAAGTAGTAAGAAAAGTCAGCCATTTCATGTTCGACCATTAACTCCAAGAAGACTAAAATTGCCAAACAAGTTATTTAGCATTGTCTGAGTGAAATATGTAGATTTCCACATGTCTTGTTACCTGACTGACTGACTTGAAGTCATTTGAAATGAGTCAAGCCTAATCCATGCAGTTTTTTGGAAACAGAATGCAATAGCCAGGGTAAGGCTAACCGCTGCAAGCAGCATACATTCAACTGTGCAATGGCTCAGAAAACAAAGAAGTCTCTTTCTCGTTCCAAGGCGATAGAGGTCTATTTATTGTTCAGGGAATATGCAGAAATTGGTCTTCCTAGTCAGCGAATGGCTCTCCTTCAGTAAGTGACTCAGAGACCTAGGTCCTTACATCTCATGGTTCCACCAGCTTCAACACTTCCAAGGCCACCATGCTCCTGTGCATTAGGGTATGAAGAACAAGAGAGCGTTGGGAATTGTACATAACAGAGTTTTATGCCTGAAAACGGTGGGTACCGCTTCAGTTCTCATTTTGTAGGATAGATATATATGTCGCAGTACCATTTAGCTGCAAGAAACTCTAAGAAATATGGTTCTGCCATTTTTTTTCCAGAATGAAGGGTAAATGAGGTACTGGTGTCTGGCACTAGAAATCAGGGAAGTATCTGTGACACTCCCAAGCTAAAGCCCTTGGCTTAACCCCTCTCACAGCCGACTGCAGTCTTGAATAGTCACATATCATCAATAGTCACAACTAAATGAATACTTGAAGTTTCCCTATTTTAAACTTTCCTTGCAGATAAAAGCAAAGTCCAGAAAAGTGAAATTGGTCTTTGATGACCGAGCAACTTAGTGACGAAACTAAAACAGTTTTCAAGTCATCGATTTGCACCTAAATATTCACAATCTCGCTCTCTGGGAATTATGAAGGTGAGTAATCACAAATCACAAGACGTTTTGGAAAAATATAAAACCTCAGGGATTGGCCGGGCGCAGTGGCTCAAGCCTGTAATCCCAGCACTTTGGGAGGCCAAGGCGGGTGGATCACGAGGTCAAGAGATCGAGACCATCCTGGTCAACATGGTGAAACCCCGTCTCTACTAAAAATACAAAAAATTAGCTGGGCATGGTGGCGCGTGCCTGTAATCCCAGCTACTCAGGAGGCTGATGCAGGAGAATTGCCTGAACCCAGGAGGCGGAGGTTGCAGTGAGCCGAGATCGCGCCATTGCACTCCAGCCTGGGTAACAAGAGCGAAACTCCGTCTCAAAAAAAAAAAAAAAAAAAAAAACCTCAGGGATTATGTCTATTAAGATTGGTGTGTGTGTGTGTGTGTGTGTGTGTGTGTTGTACACACCATGGACTACTACTCGGCTATAAAAAGGAAAAAAATAATGGCATTCACAGCAACCTGCATGGGGCTGGAGGCAATTATTCCAAGTGAAGTG